GTTATAATTATGAATACCTGACAATATTTATAAGTAGTAACATTATTCAAATAAGATAACTAATGTAATCATGTTAACAATTTATAATCTCATTAGAACCTCCTTTGTGTGTAGTTTATATTTGAGTAATAAGAGTTTATACTATACTTGTTTGAAATACCATTAGTGGATCCTCTAACCTTGACATTTGTTGTTTTCATTATTTGATTCTCACATTAAACTTTCATCTCAAAGTTGTTATCAACTTCTTCTTCTTCTTCTTTACTACTACTACTACTACTACTACTACTACTACTAGTATTAGTATTAGTCTTATTATTGTTGTTGTTATTATATTATTGTTGTTTATAATTTATACAATTAACCTCTCTATGGTTCGACCCCAGTATTGTCGGGTTATGTATTATTTCGACATTCCTGCACTTGAGAGAAAACATCAATCTTTTGGTCGTGTCACCATGCAATCATTCATTTAAATTAATCGATATCCATTTATTTACCTAATCATGTTCATTAATTTTTTTAATAAATAAAAGATAAATTCAAAATAAAAAACCAATTGCTTAAATAATAAATGCAAATAAAAATAACCAAATAAACATGCACCATAAAAAATATTACAAAAACTGAATACATCAGAAAAATATAAAGAGTGCCCCTGTTGATATGATGGAAACATATATAAAAAAGATTCGGGCTAACTTAACAACCAATTCTGGTGAACAAATCATAAGTATGATGTAGAACATAAAATTAAGATGATACAATAAATAGTAAAATGAAAAAAAAATACCGTAAAAATATATGATAAAATGTTTTAAAAAAATAAAAAAATCAATCCAAACTAATCTTTTATATCTATAATCCAGGTCATGAAATTAAAATTACCTCATTAAAAACAACTATCACAAAGTCATTGACAACATATATAAATATCTAAAAAAAGGAATAATTTTATTTTAATACTAAATAAAGGACAAGATACATACACTATAAATAAATCACCACTTTTATTAATTAATAATGGAAGTGGGTAATGTAGATAATAATGCCAAAATAAATATAAAAATTAATTAATTAAAAGCATTAACTATATATAAGCCTCTCCATAATCTTAAAATACCAAACCAACGACAACAGCTAGCATGGTCATCAAGAAACTTGCCAAAACAATAGAAGACGATGAACCAGGTGGAGAAGGGATAGTTGGAAGTGACTCTGGAGTCATTGAGCTTGTGGGGCTTGGTGTTGGTGTTGGAGCACAACCATCCGAGGTATTATTGGAAGACGGTGAAGGAGTAGCTGTAGGACTTGGTGGTGGAGGTGGTCTAGGGGTGGTGGAGGGTGGTGATGCGCTTGTTGTGCGTGATGAGACTGTGATAGCTAACTTCTGTCCAGATTGACAATGCCTGCCAATAGTACAGATATAGTAGTGATCTCCAGTAGAATCAAGGGTAACGTTAACAGGACCAGTAGAAATTACGTCTCCAATAGAGTTTGAAGATGTGCATGCATCAAAGGATTCTTTTTGAACTCGGAGAACATCGTGATTGTTGGTGGTGAAATCAAAAGCTGAAAGGAAGAAGAAAAAGAAACAAATTAAGATGATGATAATTTATACCTATATAATTTGATCGTACTAAGAAAAAAACAACACATCAGGTCTCGGAATATTTAAATCATCATGATAGATTCCGAGACGAGAGAAGAGGACATGCACTTACTTAGGGTATCACCAACCATGAAGTTCTTGCCAGTAGCCCAGGTAATGTATGCCTGAGCACCACCGGCCTGTGGAACAGTCCAACCCATGTTGTCTCCGACCACATGCACTGTTTGTGCCACAGAGCGTTGAAACAGAACCATCATGGCAAAACCAAATGTTACACCAATATTAAACATTGCCATTACTCTCTGAAGCCCAATATAATATGATGTTCAATTCCTCACTATATATATTTCAGCAAGTGTGTTGGCTATTGTGCTTGCAATATTCAAATGTTATGGTCACAGAAGATCTAGTGTGAAGCATATATACGCTGCTGCCCCGGCCCAACAAAACGCGGGTTGCGAGATGGCAAGCAAAGTAGCCGGTCCTCCTTGAATATTTGCACGCAGGGTCCACTTTGATTGAGAAAAAGGGTTCACACTTCACAGTTGATACCAGTTAGGTGGGAATTTTGAATTTTTTTTTTTTATTTCTCGAGACAAATTTTAATGAGGACAAAACATCAAGCTGAATACACACACACACTCTCTAACAAAAGGGTATTTAATTTACTTTCTCATCATTCTTTTGTACTAAGCCACCGTACAAATCATTCTTTTAATTATATTCTTATTATAGTTTTTCCTATAAATTTATTCATAATTTACTGGACATATATCAAATTTTGGTATTTTTATTATCTTTGAGACGGCATGCTATGACATCTTTTAATCACAATTTCAAAAATACATCTCCATACAATATTACTATACAACTTTGATTATATGATTTTATTTTATTTTCTTGACCCGCGCCCCGCATTTACGTTCTCAAAGAAACCTACATCACAGCATTTAAGTTCTTGGCGGAAAATATTGTTCAATTGTTTTAAAGTCAATAAATTAGGCTATTGAATGTTCCAAGTAAGAAGATCCAGAATGCTTAGAGGCTGAATATTCCGTAGCTCATTCCAAAGTCAAAATAAATATTCTTGTTCACATATAACAAGGGAGACCTTGAGACGCTGGCAACCAAGTCTTGTTCCTCCTATGTTCGGTGGTCGCGAGCCTTCACAACTTGTTCCTTCGTAGTGCTGCTTTGAAATTACTCTTTTTGTGCTCTTTGACCCTTTCTTGATGGAGATACGAGGGCAATTCATAAAAATATGGCCTCTCTAATAAGATATTTATATTTGATAAGAGTACTACAAAAATGAAAATAACATTTCTATTCTAATCTCATTCGAATGAAATAGGAATAAGAATGCTGAATGGGAAAATAAATATAAATTAAACATAAATTCATTTTCATGAAAGAGGTTAGTAAAAAAAATAAGAAATGAGAATTATTTTTTTTAAAAAAAATATATCAATAAGTTACATTAGTTTTGTTTTTTTTTAAAATATATCAATAAGTTACATTAGTTTTGCAAGATTAGAATATCTCTTAAACTGTATATTAGATTGAACTAAAATTTTATAAGAAGATACTTGACACATATAATTATATTTTATAAAATTTTAGATCAATTTGATTTTAATAACATATTATTTAAATTGATTGAAGTTGTTGTTACTATTTTAACAGATTCATCAACAAAATGTTTTTTCTTAGTTATTTTTAATCAATCCATACATGTAATGGGTTAATTTTTAACAACATAAAAAAATTAAATGAAGGTTATTTAAGCTCTAAACTTATAAATAACAATATTTTATAATGTGGCTTAAATTCATTAAAGAATTAGTCTTTTTTTCCTAAGATATGTGTGGTGGCTAGAGGCTTTATAAATACTTTAGTTTTATTTTTTTATATTTTTTTAGGCTCTTTTTTATTTTTAGCAGCTTAGATAAAAATTTTAACACCAATTTTTTCATTCTTAAATTATGCCTTTTGGTTTGATTAATTAGATAAGGTTCGTGACTTGTTTAGGTTCATAATTTTGAGTTTATTAGTATAGGTTTTGGGTCAGTTTTGTAAGTAGATGAATGTAGACCACAATGATAGATCCATTAGAGCTTTTATTTTTCAAGATTATAAATCCTCTTTGTAGTGACAAAATATTCAGATTTGATAATATTATTATTGTTGAATTTATTTAGCTTGAGTGAGAGATATTCTCTCATTATTTGATTCTCTAATAAACTAAATTGACTTATCAAAAATTAACTGATTTCATGGTATTTTCCATATACTTTTCATTCACGAATTAATATTTGTAGGATGAAGGTTTTTATTCTGATTATGTTGATGTCTTGAGACAGGTTTTCATTGTGTCATATTTATATCAGACATGTTTTGGTTTTTTGAGATTTATTCACAATCTTATTGTAGATTGCGTGTTCATATGATTACGAAGTTCACATCATTCTCCCTCTCAATATTATAGAGGGAAAGAATTCTAAACTAAACCCAGATTTTTTTATAAAAAAATTATCAATTAAATGTAATATAAGATTTTTTTAGAAAATTCAACTCAAATTGAAAGTAAAAAAGAAAAGGAATTCTAATTACAGAAATTCACACCTATCAAAGTTATCTCTAGATCTAAAATTCTAACATTAGCATAAAATAATGATTTGGAAAAAATAGTGTTGATTTACTATTATGTTTTCCCCTTTAGGTCTTTGGAATTTCTCTAATTTTTTTTTATATTTTGATTATTAAATTTTATTTATTTTTAAATACATCATCACAAGAAAAACATGGTTTTACTTGTTGTTTTTTAATTCAATTTTCATATTCTCGTATGCCGGATTTATTGTTAAATATTACAACTTTGAATAAGAGACCAATCTTACAAAAAATAATTTTATGTTATTCTTAAATCTAAAATTGAAAGATTAAGGGTTAAAATTGATATTAAAAAAAATAAAAAAAATTATGCTTTTCCTACTCAAATGGCACATAAATATTCAATTTGAAATCCTTAAATTTCACTTTTTTTCATATGTCATCCCATTCTTTCAATGTTTTATGTTTCAATTTGTATTTTTTTTTTTTACATTTTAGTCCTTGAATGTCTAAAGAAGAAAGAGAAAGCTGCTAGAAAAAAATAATCTCGGATGACTAAATTTTGGCATTAATAACTACGATTTTGGTGTTTTTAGATTTGTTATTAAAAGAGTAACTTAATAGAAGTAATTTATGCCTTCAATAATGCTTGACATGGTAAATTGAGATTCTAATTATTTTTTTTTAATGTTTGGTTTGATTTTGACTTTTGATTGAGATTTGATTTTTTAAATGTTCTAAAAATTTATATCCTAATTTTTCAATCAAAGAGCTAGCTTTGATGGTTGGGAAGCATTGCAGATGGACAAAGTCCAAAGTGTCATCCATAATATTTTTTTTTTAAAAAAATAAGAGATTAATTAACTCTTTTCTTTAATATTTTTTAATAGGATTGATTTTAAATAGTTATTCAATTATGGCATAGTTTTCAAATAATATTATAACTTTTTTATGATAGTATTAACATTTATGTTTTTAATAATTATATATGAACATATAATACTTATTTTTTAAAAACAAATTACCTCATGAGCATTTAAATATATATTTAATTATTGCTTTTTGTCTATACTTTATATGTTTTTTTTCATATTTTATATTTTTTGATATTTCACATATAAATTATCAATTTACCTTTATTTTATCCAAAATTTATTTGAATATTATAATAATTTTTAATTAAAAAATGGTCCTTAAGAATAAAAATGTTTTTGTAAAAAAGAAAACACATGAATAAGAAAGGGAAATTTTGATTAGAGAGATATATTTTTTACTACTCATTTCAAACTAATAGATTTTTTTTTAATTGCCTTTATTTTTTATTCAATAAACCATATTTCTAATAAAGAAGTTATTTTTTAAAACAAAAATTACATTTATAAGAAAATAGAATTTCAACTAAAAAACTTTTTTCTCTCCAAAATTTAAATAATTATATTTTTCACAAATATTTATTTTTATTACCGCATGATTAAATTAAAAAATTAAGGAATTATCCATATTACTAGGTCAGATATACTTATTTGTGAATTTATTTTTTTGTTTCTTATAATAAAGATCAATTTTTTATTTTAATCTTATATTAGCGTTAGCAACTTTTTCTATGATTCATGAGTTCATATATTTTTATAAAACACAAACATCATCTTTCCAAATTTTAATTAGAAACTTTTATCATATTAAAAAAAAAAAATTCACAACACCAGAGCCTTCTTCTCTTGTATTGTAAATTAATTTGGAATTCTATCCACGAAATAACAAGTGCATGTACTCCTTGCTAGTGGCCTCTAATACTAATGCACCAAATTACGAACATAAGAGGCAATTATTTTACTAATTTTTACCATTTTCTAAAATCTGACTCGTGGAGGTTGCGAGGATAATCTTAAGGCAGTTATTGGATGGAGTGGTGTCGAAATAAAGCTTCAAATGATACTGAATATTAGTTGATAGGCATCTTAGTCATTCAGCGGAGGAGCATGCGAGAGAGCGAATCCCTGACTGGAGTAATTGACTCGAAAGCTCTTGGGCTCCAATGGTTTGAGTTTTAGGTTTGGATTCTTTGGTTTATACTGGGATTTAAGACTTCTAAGAGTTGTGGGTTTTTTCTCATAATTATTTGGATTCTCATTTCAAGCTCACTTACAAAAACATTCAAAATTCTTTTTTGACGAATTTTTCAATAGAAACAACTCCATTTTATGTTTTGAGCAGAATAATATCATAGCTTCAAGGATAAAACCTTGGGTGTCTACATATGGAAATCAAGATTAAAGAAAATGGGAATTTCAGTCCACTTTCCTTACTGTCATTTCCACTCCGTCCAAGGAAACGAAGAGGGATTTTTCGTTTTCCTCATTTTCTTGCCATGCTCATTTTAATGGCAAACAAACCCCTCCCCTCCATGGGTTTTGACTTATGGATGATTTAAGAGCAATAGTTGAGTGTCCAAAGTAAAACTCCGCTGATAAAGAATCAAAGAATAAATCTGTTACCAGCTGGTGGGATATTTGACCCTAAAAGCTGGCAGAGGTAATTGAACCGTACATTCAAAGGGATGGCTTTGTAAATGATTTTCTCCTGAGAATTTGATCTTCAATGTCATATTAGTAAGTTAAGATGGATATCTACCAGATTTGATCATCTAAACAGGGAATAGAGAGTAAATTGTTTAATTTAGTCCCCGTGTTCTTAACAAGATAAAAACAGAGCAAATCCCTCTGTTTTTAGTTCCTTCTATAACTTCATTCATGTCAGCCAGTTGAGTTGTTTTTCTTCTTATCTATTATGGCTGTTGAAAGATACCTCAGGGCAGCTTGGATATGTAGCTAAGGGATTAACCACGTACGTATCAATTGTAAGAAACCTAGGGTTTTGAAACCAGAAGGACTAAATTATGATGTACATAACAAATAAATAATACATGGTGAAACGACATCAGAGCCCTTTTCCCCTTTTTTCTTGAATTCATTCATTTATGATACATTTCTGAAGATATATACACATGTATCATGAGATTATCCCTTTTCAATTGACTCAAGAATTACTGTCAGAACAATAGAAAATGAATCGAGAACGTTACAACTACGTGCATCAGCAAATTCTAGACTGTTGGCCTTTTCAAGAAGCTGAGATTAGGAGCACTAGTGTGATACAAGTTGTAAGAAGCAATGCACAGGATGACCCCAACCAACCATATGCTCCAATAACCTGTCAGATGAAAAGAAATTCTTCATCATAAGTGTCTAAAACGGCAACTTATGCAGCAAATCAAGAAACTAAAATGCAAAAGGAGACGGGGTATCTCATACCTTGAAATGAATGAAAGATGAAACTCCAGAGGATTCCTTAAGCCCGGTGAATCCGATATCATAAGAAATGCTTCCATCAGGTTTAAACAATCCAAAGTTCCTCTCAGAAGTTGGCCCGGGCTTCAAATTTTCGTTGAACAGTGCAAAAATATACGCTTTTGCCACAAACTTTGGTCTGTATGGTGTTCCCTTCTTTTTAGCTAGCCGTTTACGCAGGTTACGATTGTAAGTCCTGGCATTTTCTAAACTGGCACCTGCTTCATTGTCATCCCCGCGAGAAGCCCAGCCTGTTTCAGAAACGATGACTTCCATCTTGGGAAACCCAGCCTTTTCTAATGCAGCGTAAGCTGCATCAACCTGAGCCTCAAACATGTTATCATAATGCAGATTAGTCTTTGAATCAAGAATTCCCTGATTTGATTTGAAAAGAGCATAGTTTATGTCAATATGCTCAGGATCACTCTTGTAGGCTAGAAAAGGGTAGGCATTTATGTAAAAAGGAGAACCAATCTTTGAGAAGAACTGCAACAGTGGTTTCATGTATATAGAAACATCTTCCCTGAAAACGCACGCCGATGGTGGAAAGGAATTGGTGAAGACGGCCTCTGAATGTGGGCTTGAAACCTCGACAACCTTCGTCAAACCCAGCCTTCGAAGCGCATCATAAACATTTTTAACCGCAGGCAGTAAAACCTCCCATAATTCATGGTCATCGCCCCCCAAGATCTCGTTTCCCACTGCTATTCCGGCAATATTTGTTCCAGGAAGGAATGGCTGCACATTTTCCTTTATCCAATTCATGGCGCGATCCTCTCCTACAGCTATTTCTTTCAAATACTCATTGCCAAGTCCAACAATTATTCCAATGCCAGAGCCCTTGAAGGCCTTGAGGACTTCATGGTCAGCGTCGTAGATTCTGGTATTTTTAATCTTGGCTGCCTTCAGAAGCGTCACCACGCTGCGTGGTGAAGGTAAATTATCTGCTATCCTACCGTAGTTTACTCCGTATGTTCCCTTGAATGCGTACACTGTGAAAACTGCAGAACACAGCAAATAAAAAATCACCATGCATTACACAGCTCAACCATTATAAGCAGCTAAAATATCATTATAATTCGTGCTTTATTTTTTTTATAGTAACTAGAACAAAACATTTTACAAAAATATTAATATAAAAAATTAAGAAATTTTTTTATTTATAAATGATTGGAAAATTAAAATTGGATTACCCTATACAAGGCAGGGGTTCGACTAGTGCCATTCAAAACTGGGGCAAAATCATTGGTTGTTTTTCCATTATTCTACAAATCCCACTCACATTCCGAAGAGAAGAGAGCAGCATTCCAAACAGTTAGAAAGTTTTTTCAAGTACATCCCATAAGTGTAATCTTGTTTTTTCAGAATAAAAAAACATATAAAAAAACCTTAATGTTGTTTATTGTGTAAGGATACAGATTCTGAAATCTAAATATCATGAAATCAACTTATCTCTGTTAGAGAATAATATAATAATTTATATCATTCACTAACAAACTCAAACTCAAGGAGGAAAGGTAAAGAGTACTACGTACCATTGGAAGAAATGACGGAGAAGAGGAGGAGGAGCCATAGAAAGAAATAACAGAAACCCATAATTCTGGTGGAAAGATGATCAAGGAAAGTGCACTCCATTTGTAGAAAAGAATGGGGTATGGCCCAACCTTTTTGTAGCTCAAAAGTGTCAAAAAGATAAACCCTTTGGATGACAATGCAATTCTTGTTCTTGAGGCATGCCATAAGACCCTATAAAAAGATTCTTAACCTTGAGATTAAAGAATTTGGAAAGAAGATTCTTAACCTTAGTCCAAAGATGAAAGAGAATTCTGAGAGGATTGGTATTTATTCTTAGCCTTACTCTTCAAAGAATACCTTTTATTGGGTTGTATGGATGAAGTTTCAGAACTATTACTCTCTTTCTCAAGAAAGAACAAAACATAAACCCCCTTTCTATATATACTTTTCTTGAGTCCGATTTTTTTTCGGGTTATTTTTGAGAGGGAAGGTGGAAGAGAAGGCAGGTAAACTTTTTGTTTTGATGGAAATCATTGCTCACAGATGGTCACAACTTGGAAGCTTGAGACTGGTGTGGAATGTTTTGGGTCGGTGACTGGTCCCCTTCGGGGATCCATTGACAGATCTTTTGAGGGATCTTTCAGCTATTCCTTTGAGGTGTCTAGGATCAAACTTTTGTGGAAACGTTGGGAGAATAATTTCAACAAGGGTAACCGTAAATCTAAAAGTAACACATACTCGCAACAAGCACAGCCATGGTACTGACCAGTCGCCACTCTTCTAAAGAGGAAATGAGAGAAAGGTTAAGCAATATGCAGACATTGTAGTCTGTCATTGAGCACTTGCATAGTAGAACTAGTCTCTCCAGGCACTGCTCTAAACAAGGCGGATCTGAAACCATGCCAGACAACAAAATAAACTACAGTGCAAACATATACAATATTTTAGTATAGTCACTAAACATAAAATTTAATTAAAGCCTTGCAATCTCGAGTCTGCACAATCTATGCAACGAACAAAAGCTGCATCAATTACAGCCTGCTCTAGTGAGGTCAAGACTACAGGTAGGGCGATATCCCATCCATTTAAATCTGACATCAACATATTATCAAATCTAGCAATGACATTAAAGCTACAGTCACCCAAAACATCCGAGTCGCCCGAATTAGAAGAGAAGCAGATGTTACATTAGAGCTACGGCTGAGGGGCATCAGCCGGCACCATTTGGTTTACCTTTCCATTTTCCATGATCTTCCCATCCATTTGTTGGGGGATTTCACCGGTAATATTCTGATAGTTATTAATTGAAGGCCAAACATATTAATATAATATTTAATGTGATTTAGTAAACAACTTACATCCATGAGAAAAGTCAATATTATTTGAAATAGATATAGAAAAAGTTACAATACAAATAAAGAAGAAAGATCATGATTAGTACTTAAAAGTATAGTTTTATTAAGGTTTTATATCATTATTTTGCACTTGAAGTATCATTAACTCTTTAACTAGAACATATATTATAATAACAAGTATGATAATATAAAATACCTTTAATTTATGATAAATGCTCATTTTAAATGCAAGTATATCTCACAATTCAAAGGATTGATTATTGTGATTAACTATTGAAAGTGAAAGGACAAAGAAAAAGCTAAGCTTAGAAAGGAGATGCCAATTCAATTCAAATTCAAACACTATTTAGTCATTGGGTCATATATGGAGCTATAGATCTTGGATTTCAGTTTGATTTATATAAATGAAAAAATAAGAAATAGGACTACTCATGGATAGAAAAAGATCCAAATATGTTGTTTTCAAATTCAAAGTTTGGCCATAAAAAAAAAAGTCAGAATTTGTCCTGCAATCCAGCTCAAACATTACTCTGAATTTTACCTATAGCTAGAGTTCTAGAAGGCCAAATGACATGAAATTTGATGGGTGGAAGGAAAAGACAATTTCTAACAACTTCTGATTGCATCAATGTCATTTCATTCAGCCAAGATTGCATCAATGTCATTTCATTAAGCCAAAAGACTTGAGTATTGCTGTCCATCAAGTCCACTAAATCAATAGTTGGCCACTACATCAATAATTAATTACCAAATGAATAGTTTCAAATTTTAGGCCATAACAGGAGGTAGTTGTCATTCATTTAGGCATCTTGGTTTTTATATTAAGATCATGTTCTTGCTCTCTCTCTCTTTATATTCTTGTAATACTTAAGTTTTGCTTTCATTAATCTCTTATTCATGTTTTTCATTTCTTTTACTATACTTAGTTAACTTATATCATACTTATGTTCTTATATTGTTTATTTATATTCTTCTTCTTCATAATATTTAGCTAAGTTAATTATGTCAAGATGAAAAGGTTTCACTAATGGTGTTAGGATAAGTATAATATAAACTCAATACAAACTTTAATGCCTATATCTTAAACAACTTGCTATCAACATGCCTTATCATTTTTATCTTATTAACTCTTAATACCTTGTTTGTTTAATAGTTAATATAGATTTGTATTATATAATACTTGGTACATCAAATACTTGATCCTTTATAGTCTTCGGCTGACATCGTTATTATGAGAGGAACTGGATTTGTTATCAACATAAATTAGCATCATGAATACCTGATAAAATTTATAAATACGGTGTTATGTAAATAAGATAATTAATATGATCATGTTGATAATTTATAAAGAATTTATACTTTATTTATCTCTAATACTATTAGTGGATCCTTTAACCTTGACATTTGTTGTTATCATTGTATAATCTTCATGTTAATCTTACATCTCAAAGTCCTCTTTAACTCATCATCACCATCATCATCATTATTGTTATTATTATTACTATTATTAGATTATTATTATTATTATTTATATAGTTAACCCCCCTATGGTTCGACTCCAGTCTTGCCGGGTTATTTATTACTTTGACACTTCTATATTTGGAATAATACATCAACTTTTTGATCATGTCAGATCACTTCACTCAAACTTCACTCAACTCTTTAAATGTTTGAGGCCTACATCTTAGCTTCCATCCATATAAAACAGACTTAAATTCAAGTTCTACAGCTCCAGTTATGATCCCCTTACCGAACAATGTTTCGGTTTGGCCTAACACCTCTTTTCTAAGTTTCACCCTCTCTTTGTCCTTTCAATCTCAGTACTTAAATTTATCAATCAATCCTTTCATTTATGCAATAGACTTGCATTTAAGATGAACATTTATAATAAATTAAAGGTATCTTATGGTATTGATTAGTACTTAAAAGTGCATTTTTATCATGGTTTTATATCATCATTTTGCACTTGAAGTATCAATAACTCCTTAACTAAATATCTAATAATAATAATATATCTAATAATATAAGATACCTTTAATTTGTGATAAATGTTCATTTTAAATGCAGGCCTATCACATAAATGAAAGGATTGATTGATGACTTTAAGAACTTAAATTGCAAGGGCAAAGAGATGACCAAACTTAGAAAAGAGATGTCGGTGCAATCCAAACCGAAACACTGTTCGGTAATTGGGTCATATCTAGAGCTATATATCTCAGATTTAGGTCCAATTTATATGGATGGAAAGGTAAGACATAGGCCTACAACTTTCATATGGAGCCCAAGATCTAAAAAGGCCATTATCAAGTCCAAATTGTAGCAACAACAAAGAAGCCCGAATCTGTCTTCCAGCCCGAGCACTGTTCGGTATTTTGGCCATATCTGGAGTTCTAGAAGTCCAAATGAGCTGAAGTTTTTACACAAGAAAGCTGAGACAATTGCCTACAACTTTCATGTTTGCAACTGGCTCCAATTTTGACGTTATCAATGACGTTTTGGGCAGACAAAAGAAGATAAGGATTGTCACCAAGTCAAAAGTTGGTCACCCACTTATCAATTAGTCATCAAATCAATAGTTCCCATTTTTGGCCTATAAAAGGAGGCATTTGCCATGCATTTAGGCATCTTGGTGTTCAGATCAAGATCATGCTCTTCCTTTCTCTCTTTGTATTTTTTATGCTTTGTTTTCATTAATATTAAGTTTATGCCTTTCATTTCCTTTCCTTTACTTAGTTAACTTTTATGTTCTTATTTTGTTTATCTATTTTGCTTTCTTTCATTATGTCTAGCTAAGTTAATTATGTCAAGGTGAAAAGGTTACACTAATGGTGTAAGAATAAGTATAATGTAAACTTAATATGGACTTTAATGTTTGATACTAACATGTTTTATATTTGTTATCTTGTTCACTCTTTAATACTTTGCTTGTTAAATGACTAATCTTGATTTATGTTGTATAACACTTGGTACAACAAATGCTTGGCACTTTCATAGCCCATAATGTATGGTATAACCGACACCTGAGCTATGAAAGGAACTTGATTTATTGTTAACATAAGTTATAATCATGAATGCTTGACGAGATTTACAAGTATTAGCATTAATTGAATAAGATGACTAATGTAATCATGTTAACAATATATAATCTGATTGGAACCTCCTTTGTGTGTGGTTTCCAATTCAATAATAAGAGTTTATACTATACTTGTTTGATATACCATTAGTGGAACCTCTAACCTTGACATTTGTTATTATCATTGTTTAATCGTTACATTAATATTCCATCTCAAAGTTCTCATCTTCTTCTTCTTCTTCTCCTTCTTTTTCTTTATTATTATTATTATTATTATTATTATTATTATTATTATTAGTACTACTACTACTACTACTACTACTACTACTACTACTACTACTACTACTACTACTACGCATAAGAGTGTGGTCACATACATCAAGTGGTAGACTTTGTAGGGTATCCTAATCATTTTCAGAAAATATGGCCGAAGAAAATAATCAATCACTTCATAATGAGATTAATGAGAATAACTGTGCTAGAACACTTAGAGACCACATGAATCCCACAAGAACAGGTGCACCATCATGCATAGTTTTTCTTCCCGATGCATCTCATTTTAATTTTAAACCAGGCATTATTCAACTTTTACCTTCTTTTCATGGCTTAGAATTGGAAAATCCATACTTGCATTTAAGGGAATTTGAGGAGGTCTGCAACACATATAATAATTTAAATTGTAGCATGAACACCATCAAATTAAAACTTTTTCCTTTTTCATTAAAAGATAAAGCTAAAACATGGCTACAAAATTTAAGACCAGGATCCATTCATGCTTGAGATGAAATGCAACAATAGTTTTTAAAGAAGTTTTTCCCATCTCACAGAACAAACTCTTTCAAAAGACAAATCACCACTTTCACTCAAAAACCAGGAGAAACATTTTACCAATGTTGGGATAGGTATCGAGACTTGCTTAATACTTGCCCTCATCATGGTTTTGAAACATGGAGATTGATTTCACATTTCTATGA